ACAACAAACTACAAATCCCAGGACTCCATAGCACTGAGCCATGGCAGCTAAAATCATGTCAAGCTGGATTATTTTTGCAGTGCAGATGCAGCCTAGGTATGTACAAATCAGGTAAAATAGATTCTGAGGAAGTAAATTCCATTTACCATATTTTCTTAAACACACCCATCTCCTGATTTCCAATCCTAAATATGTTTAGTTAAAACTAAATTGCACTGATTTTAAAAAGGTTTATATCCAAGTAAAAAAAAAATAGGACTGTAATCTTAATTCTAATTCTCATCCTGGTAGTTATTTTATTTAGCTGTAGGCTCCAGGCATCTAGGGTTTTTTTTGTAGGAGTTGTATGGAGAACAATAAGAAGTCATTCTTGGTCTGATTTGTGGAAGTAGGTCATGCTGCTTGCAACAATGCTGAATGCAACAGACCCAGAAACACTTATGTAAAATTCATGTCCATCTTTATAGTCCTGGGAGTCCTGAGCCTACGGCATTTTTGTTTCATTGAGACTTTCCTTTCGCTTTTTTAAGTTATAGAAATTCAGCTATGAAAAGGAACAGTTTTTGGCATGGATGGCGAAACGTCAGAAAGAAACTCTTCTAGAACATGGCCACACAGCCAGAAAAGCCCACAGCCAGAAAAGCTCACAGAAAATCAAACGTGGGCACCGTTGGGACAATCAGAAAGACAATATGGTAGTTTTATTTCTCTGTGCAATATTTTTTGAGGCAAGCAGAGAACTATCAGTATTCTTCTTCCCCACAACTATTTAATCTGTGAAGTAAGAATGGGTATTCCTTACATACCTCAGTATATCAGATGTTGTAGTCTAGTCTCTGCATGTCTCAGTGTTTCAGATTGCAAATTAAACCCATGTTTACTTTAGCAGTGTCCAATCACAAAATGCAGCATGCTCCATTCAAGATATATAGGTGATGAAAGACAGCTAGCATGGTGTAGTGGTTTGAATGTTGGTTCTCATCCTTGCTTGACCATGGAAACCTACTAGGTGGCTTTTGGCAAGTCACACTCTCTCAGCCTCAAGATAGGTTTGAATCCGAAATTATTTTTGTTGAATATAACTAAAGATTGTAAAGGCAAATTGAATAAGGAGGAAATTGGAGTAGTCTTAT